CCGTCGCGGAGCGCAGGCTCAGCGGCCACGGCTCACGGGCCCAGCCGCTCCGCGGCACGTGGGATCTTCCCGGACCGGGGCACGAACCCACGTCCCCCGCATCGGCAGGCGGACTCTCCACCGCTGCGCCACCAGGGAAGCCCTGAGGCTGGGATTTTTAAGGATGAACCCCAGGAGCCCCGGCAGTGGACACCGCGTGGGCCGGAGCAGAGTGACGCAGGCTGCTCGTGTGCGGGATGTAGTCGCCAGAAGGGCTCGGAGGCAGGGCCCAGGCAGGGAGAAGCTACGGACCCTAGACCTCGTAGACACCCCCGCTGCCCCGCCCCCACCCCGCGCCACCTGCCTGTCCGAGCAGGGAGCCCACTGTTTTCCTCTTGCAGGTCATCAACCTCTTTGTGGCTGTCGTCATGGACAACTTTGACTACCTCACACGGGACTGGTCCATCCTGGGCCCTCATCACCTGGACGAGTTCAAGGCCATCTGGGCAGAGTATGACCCAGAGGCTAAGTGAGTCCCTCCTGCAGGCTCTGTGCTGGGCCCTCCCTCAACCATCCACTCCTCTGGTCTAGATCCTGTCCTGGAGTCCGACAGCGAGTCACTCTCCAGTCTAACAAGGAGAGGGCTGCCCCTCCCTTTATTATCCGAGGGCCCGGATCAGTGACTGGGAGTTCCTCAGGGTTGGGAGGGATCCTACAGCCTCCCAGGGCAGAAGCCCCCTTGCCTTTATTGGGAGATGGTCATCCAGCTTCACTTGGATGCTTCTAGGAGCAGGGAACTCACTACCTCCCCAGGCAGTTTAGGCCCCGGCTACTCAGAGTGTGGTCCACTGACCAAGAAGCTAAGCTCTATAAAGATGCAGGGCCCAGCCACCCACACCTCCCCAGCCTCACCCCAGAATGACGGAATCAGAACCTGCATTGCCGTTAACCTGGCCCTCGGGGCATTTGGGTGCACTTTAACGCTGGGAAGCACAGCTGCCTTACCTTCTTTCTAAGAAGGTAATAAGCTCACATTCGATGACTGTTTCCCAGGTGTCAGGTGCTGTGCCAACCACAATGTGCATTGTCTCACTTAATCTCCCAACCTATGACACGGTCTCCACCGCCCTACCAGTCCCTGGAAGTGAGCTTCCACCTCCCTTGATTCATATCCTCTACATCTATTAATAGATCCCAAGAGCCCCCAGGCAGCTTGACTAAAACCCAGCGAAGGCTCCACCATGGGAGAAATGAGGTCCAGATTCCAGCCCGGAGATCCCATATCTGAGGGGATTCTGGCCTCTTACCACCCCGCAAAAAAGAGAGCCCATTCCTGGTGGTGGGCAACAGTGAATTCAAACATCGTTTCTTCTTTAAAACGGACACTCAGCTTCCACTCCCTAAGCACCGTTGGAAATCAGGAAGCGTCCCCCTGTCTCCTGGCTCCCCCACCCTCAGCCATTCTCTGAGCCGGAAGGGGGGTCTGGGTGGGGCTGCCAGGTACACAGGTCTGGTGTCCTCCCGCAGGGGCAGAATCAAACACCTGGACGTGGTGACCCTGCTGAGAAGGATCCAGCCCCCTCTGGGCTTTGGGAAGTTCTGCCCACACCGGGTAGCATGTAAGGTAACCAGAGCTGCCAGCGAGGGGTGCCCCCCACCTGGCCCTGGGGCAGGGACACTGGCGAGGGTCCAACTGGGTGAGTCATTTCAGAGCAGTCGTCTCCTGGGGCCCCACACGCCTGGGACCTAAACTCTCAACAGTGTCTCCAATTCATCCTCCCCTCTGTCACGGAGGGCGTAGCGCCCGGTGCCCTCCCCTGCCGGCCCCCAGCCCGGGTGAGGATGACCCCCCGGCTCAGTGGTCCCAGCCTGGCAGTGAGCCCCCTCTCTGCACAGCGGCTGGTGGGCATGAACATGCCCCTGAACAGCGACGGCACAGTCACCTTCAACGCCACTCTCTTCGCCCTGGTCCGCACGGCGCTCAAGATCAAGACGGAAGGTGCGGGCAGTCCCCTCCTCTCAGGGGCTGAGTTTTCTAGCGGATTCGACCAGAATCTGAGCTAAAGGTCGGAACCAAGAGTCACGGGGAGAAGCAGAGGGAGGACCCGGGCCACGGCCACAACGTTCTCACGCCCCTCAGGGCACAGCGGGAGCCCCAAAATTCTGCAGGGCAAAGGTCACCAAGGCTCTGTTCCCACACAGCCGGGTCTGATGCGGGTGGGCCAGGGAGTGGCGGGGTAAGCACGGGGGTGGGGCCCCCCGGGGTCCGCTGCTGGGTGCGCACGGGACCCCACTGAACCTGCAGGCCCCCCTGCCGGGAGGACAGACGGGATGGGAGTGGGGAGGAGATGGGGGTGTCCCTCACGCAGGGACCCAGCGGCATCAGAGCTACCGCCCAGGCGAGCAGGGCCTTCGCAGGCATGAAGCAGAGGAGCAGGACGGCTGCCTGGAGGAGGCGGGACAGACCACGGGGTGTGGGGGATGGAAGGCTGCTGCGCGGGCGGAGGGGGGGATGGGGGGCGACAGCGTCTGCAATCAGCCACTCCAGGTGCTGGAAGCCGAGGCCTGTGGGGAGTGCGTATGTGACCCGAGGGTCGGGCTGCCCTGGGGGAACAGCGATGCCCTTCCCACAAAGCAGCCGCCACAAGGGAAGACCCAGCCAACGTTTGCGGAGCGAGAGGTTCAGGGAGTGCTAGGTGGCTTTGTCAAGTGTGGTTGGCTTGGCCTGTCCCTTGCCCCCAGGTAACTTCGAACAGGCCAATGAGGAGCTGCGGGCCATCATCAAGAAGATCTGGAAGAGGACCAGCATGAAGCTCCTGGACCAGGTCATCCCTCCCATAGGAGGTGGGTGCCACTTTGGGAGACCAGAGACCAGAGGCGGCCGAGGACAGGGGAAAAGGTCGCTTCCAGGGAACCCCATGGGAGTCTGAGAGCAGCCTGGCCCTCCGTGAATGCCTTGGGTGGACCCCACGGCAGCCATCGGGGTCACATCGGCAAGCAGAGCAGTGGGGCGCGAGGGGCACCTGGACCTGGCTACGCTTGGCCCGCACGCTGACCCCAGCCTCAGATGCCCACCGGCCCCTGTTGCCCCCCCTGCAGATGACGAGGTGACGGTGGGAAAGTTCTACGCCACGTTTCTCATCCAGGAGCACTTCCGGAAGTTCATGAGGCGCCAGGAGGAATATTATGGGTACCGGCCCAAGAAGGACACCGTGCAGATCCAGGTAAGCCCATCCCGAGCACCAGGGAGCTCCACTGCTGAGATGCTCTCGAGACTCCAGCTCCCTCTCTGTGTCCTTGGGGGCAGCGGTGGAGGCAGACAGGGCAGGACGGAGCCAGGATGAGTAGGGGGAGAGATGACAGCTCTGGATGGAAGATGCTTTGACCTCAAGGGAAGAACCAGGAGCCCTTCCAGCCCTAGATGATACGACCTAAAACCATGGTCCTATCCCCTGAACACAAGCGAGAGATTTGGGTTAGATGAGAGCAGTGGTCTCCAAAGAGGACAGGTTTCCCGGGGGAGGGGAGGTGCTTGAAAAGACCCATTGGGTACGCAAAGAAACGTAGAACTTTGGGTTATCTTGCCTGTTTTGAATTTCAGTTTTTTATGTTAAGTACAACGCACATAAAGGATACATTCAAAAAATATTCACGTATTTGGGCTTTGCGCTCACAAATGCATCTCAATTTTTACTTTGAAACAATCTCACGATTTTAAAAGTTGCGTGTATGATACAAAAAAAATTTTTTTTTCTGAACCGTTTGAGAGTCATTCCCATCAACCCAGAACAGGTCAGTGTGTATTTCCTGCCAACAAGGGCATTCTCCTCTGTAACCCTCCTACATAACCATGATGCAGCCACCAAAATCAGGAAACTGGCGCATTAGTCCCATGGAATCCTCAGGCCCCGTGCAAGTTGCGCCAGTGGTCCCAATAATGTCCTTCATGGCAAAAGGATCGGATCCAGAATCACACAGTGCGTTTAGTTGTCATATCTCTTTAGTCAGTAGTCCCTCAGTCTTTCCTTGAAATGACCTTGACACTTTGAAGAGTCCCAGCCAGCGCGTCCCTCGGCCTGGGTTTGTGCGGTGTTGCCTCGTGACAGATTGAGGGCTTGCATGTTGGACAGGAATGTCGCAGAAGTGATGCTGCGTTGTCATTGCAAACTATCAGGTGACACCAATCTTGCTTTGTCCCGTTGCTGGTCATATGAACTTTGATCAGCTCAAAAAATGGTATAAATGGCACGTGCCATCGGAA